TGTCTTCCCTTACCAGACCTGTTGGAGAGGGATTCGCAGACTGACCTCCTTAGCCAGGTCAAGCTAGGGGACCAATTAACCCCCGTACAGAGGGATCAGGTCCGCCAGTTACTAAAAGACAAGAGCCCGGTAGTGACATTAGCCACTCAGAGAGTAGAAATCCCAAGAACCTGGTAGTGACATTAGCCACTCAGAGAGTAGAAATCCCCGGGCAAGCCCCACTCAGACAACCGCACTGCTGTATTCCTGAAGCCGTCTGAGTGGGGATGCGGGGGGAAATCCAGGAAATGCTAAAGCTAGGGGTTATTGAACCCTCAGACAGTCCATGGGCTTCACCGGTAGTCCTCGTACCCAAGAAAGATGGAACCACCTGGTTCTGCGTGGACTACCGGCAACTAAATGACCGAACTGTGACAGACACCTACCCGATGCCCTGGGTAGATGAACTATTAGATCGTATAGCCAGGGGACGCTATCTGACCACCACAGATCTCTGCAAAGGATATTAGCAGATTCCCCTGGCCGAGGAGGCTATCCCCAAGTCTTCTTTCATCACCCCGTTTAAGGTCATGCCATTCGGGATGAAGAACGCCCAGGCCACCTTTGAATGCTTGGTGGATAGGCTCCTCGATGGCTTCGCCGGTGCGTACCTGGATGACATTGCGATCTACAGTGAGTCCTAGGAGGAACACTTAGTTCATGTAGGAGCAGTACTGGATCAGATTCAGGCAGCTGGCCTGACCCTGAAGCCAGACAAATGCCACCTTGGGATGGCAGATGTAGCAGAATGGGCCTTAGGATGGTACCCTTATTCCTGCTCTGGGCTGTCCATGTCAGATTTCCCCCTCCCAGTTGTCCCTACTTTGTGCTTGCAGTCACTGTGTGGGACATAAAATACAAAATATGAAAAGTACATAATACACATAAATATTATAGGCACCCCCATAAATGTCATATCCCCAGATAGCCTGGATCTGAGTGCCCAAGATGTCCAAATAGTGCTCAGAGCCCACGAACACAGCCGAATCACCACCGGGGTAGAGTTTTGACCGACCGCTCACGAGGAGCTTGCCCAAAACCGTTTCATGGGTAGCGGTTAGTCAATTTCAGAAGTCCCAAAACAAAACTATGAATGGTTACTCTGGCTCATAGGTAGCGTTTGTTCACGGGGTTCGTGCGAACAAATCTACCCAACAGTGCTCTCCTTGCTTGTCTGTGAAAAGAAGCAGCCGTTCACGTAGTTGATCGGTGTTCGCGGAGTCGAGTGTCCAGACACTGGACGACCAAGTCCCGCTGCCTCATTTTGTGCAACAGGATGGCAGCCATTTTCTACAGCACGTGTTGCTCGGTTACATGAACAGCGGGCACACAGGAAGAGCACTAATTCCTGCGGTTTTCTTTAAACTTAATGAGCCGGGGGGTGGTCGGTGTTCAGTAGACTTATCTACCGAACCATGAAATAACGAACAGGGACCAAAGTATGTCGTTTTCTTCACATTGCTCTCCCCTAGTTCCATGGAGCGGCATACCCACCTATACCCTGCCGGGTTGGCTTGGGGATGTCCGGGGAGGTCAATCATGGTTTCAACTCCATTTGCCTGGACATCCTATCGGCATTGCCGTTCTGTTTGCCTGGCCGGTACTTCATGGTAGAATTGTAGGGCTGCAGTGCAGTGTTATCTCCAGCAACTCTGTTAAACCAGATAAGGGGGTTGTGGTCTGTCATCAAAGTGAAGGGACGCCATAGAGGTTATGGTTGTAACTTTTTTAAAGCCCATACTAGGGCCAGGAATTCTTTCTCCATGGTTGCTTTAAGTGAAACCGCCGTTTAGTTAGCCTTCCCCTTTCGCATTACCAATAACTCCGTTCGCATAGACTGCAGTATATGAACCAATAACAGGGGAAGCGGCAATCTCCCGACCAGAATCCATGAAAGGCTCCAAACTCCCGAACGGAAATCCACGAACTGCTGCGAGCCGCCGAACAACGATATCCACCAAGCGGCTTTTGGTTCCAGTCAGCAGTCTCTAAGCGCAAAGAAGAAATCCCCCCAATAACGAGACAGAAGCTCCGCATTGAGGGTCAAACAGGATCTGGCTTTATTGTGGGCTACCTGCCAGTATTTATGCAGGTTTCCCACTTGGTGGACACTCCCCTAGGGGACCAAATGGGAGACTGGAATTACAGATGGACATGGGGACATTTCAGACGTACAATCACAAGCTTTTCCCACAATGCAATATGGTTTCCTCCCCTCTGCCCTGGAGATAATTGAGAAGTAATTCAATTATCTCCAGGACAAAGACAAATCACCATCTTAAATACAATACCAGAAAATACATAAAAATACATAACTTTAAAATAACCGAACATTTCCCATTCGCATCACATATCCCCAGATAGCCTGGATCTGAGGGCATATTATTGGCGAATAGCGCTCAGATCCCACACACATAGTTCAATCGCCATGGAGTCAAAGTCTTTACAGTCTTTCGGTATGCGATTGACTCCATGGGAAGGCTATCTGGGTTAAGTACTTTCGTGTGTTTTAAAACCCCCGAACGGCCGGTGTTCGTACGCTTTCGTCGAGGCAGCCAGGCGACCTGTTGTTTCAGCGGTGTTCGGCAGAAAAAGTGTCAGTTTTTAGTTCCATGGAATCAGTGCCAAACACCGCTGGGCTTTCGTGCGTTTTAAAATGGCCGCTGCCTCGTGGTCGACATACGAACGACGGCCACCCTGAATTTGGTTTAATTGAGAAGTGTCTGCGGTTAACCACAACGTTCTAATTGGGATCAAGAGGTTAACCAGCAGCACACTTCTTATCCTGGGTGGTCATCCGTTCGGTGAATTTGTTCGGTGAAAACAGTCATTCGTATGGCTGGGCTATATAAACAGCCATTTACACGAAAGGGGGCAGAAATAGACGAATCCACCACAATAGATAGACAGATGGTTCTGTCACACCCCCTAAATACTATATTCCCGGATCTGAGCACCCAACATATCCGAAATTAAACCGAACATATATGGAGCTCGAAGTCCCAGCGGTGTTCGCGCCGTCGAGTGGCAGATTTTAGTTCCATACACTTCACGACCAAACACTGCTGGCCACGTTTGTGAAATAAAGATGGCCACCGCCTCGTGTTCGACCATACAAACGACGGGCACCCAACCGACCACTTAGAACGTTGGTAATTGTGGTTTTCTAAAGTGTGAAAAGAGGTCAGCCAGGTCAATCCATTCAGTAGATAGTTTGGTATACGAACCAAGTTTTTCAGTCTGTATGGGGTTGTTCATATACCAAGTAAAAGAAAACGATAATCCATGGACAGGGTATCTGTCACAGTGCTCCCTCCATGTGGAATAATCGGCAGACCCGGCTTGACCCTTTTCGGGTCAACTTGTGGATGTCTGGACTCTTCTTTAGTTGCTGAGCTTGGTTTGTCGAGACAACCCGTCGGCGTTGCCATTTTGTTTACCTGGCCGACATTGGATGGTGAAGTTGTAGGGTTGAAGGGCCAAGCTCCACCGCAACAGTCTGCCATTGTCACCTGTTAAGTCACACCAACGGGTTGTGGTCAGTCAGAGTGAATTCCCGGCCATATAGATACGGAGTTCGTTTTTTGAAAGCCCACACCAAAGCAAGACATTCCTTCTCCACTGTCGCGTATCTCACCTCTCGGGGTAACAGTTTCCTACTGAGATACGCGACAGGGTGTTCTCCATCTTCTCCCACTTGACTTAGAACTGCACCCAGCCCGACCATGGAAACGTCTGTGTGGACAATACAGCGTTTGTTAGGGACTGGGGCAGCCAATACAGGGGCATGAATTAGCGCTGTCTTTAGGGATTGGAATGCAGCTTCACAGGCGGGAGACCATAGGACCTACCTATGCAAACTTTTCTTGGTCAAGTTAGTCTTAGCAATAGTACTGTAGTCAGGCACAAATCGTCTATAATACCCTGCTGTTCCTAGGAAGGCCAATACTTGGGTCTTAGTGCAAGCAGTGGGCCAATTGGCGACTGCTTCAATCTTAGCAGGTTTGGGTCGTTGCTTCTAGGGATCGACCGATTATCGGTTTTACTGATATAATCGGCCGATATTCGGTATTCTCAGCAATATCGGTATCGGCTAATTCAGATACCGATATTGCCGATAATACCTCCTAGGACCGCCAGGCTCATTACAAGCCCGGCGGTCCTGGGGGGACGCGCATCAAGCATTTACTCACCTCCCAGCAGCTCCTCCAGCTCCCCAGTGTAACTCTCGCGAGACCCGCGGCTGTCAGAGCGTTGCCATGGATCACGCTCAAGAGTTGCAATGGGGAGCTGGAGGAGCTGCTGGGAGGTGAGTAAGCGCTTGCTCTCTGCCCCCCCAGCTCAGCCAATACCACTGGACCACCAGGGACTGTCATATCCCCCCTCCCTGGCCAGGCAACAAGCAGGGAGGGGGGACAACAACAAAAAATAATAATTAATTAAATATAAAAAAAAATAAAATAATAATTTAATAAAAAATGCCCCCTCACACACTCCATTATATACACATACACTACACAAACACACTGTGTATATAATGCAGTGTGTGTGTTTGTATAGTGTGTGTTTGTATACAATGCACACAAATACACTGCATTATATACACACACTATACAAACACACTGTGTATATAATGCAGTGTGTGTGTTTGTATAGTGTGTGTGTGTGTTTGTATACAATGTACACAAATACACTGCATTATATACACACACTATACAAACACACACACTGCATTATATACACACACTATACAAACACACACACACACTATACAAACACACTGTGTATATAATGCAGTGTGTGTTTGTGTAGTGTGTTTATATAATGCAGTGTAAGTTTGTGTAGTGTGGGTATATAATGCAGTGTGTTTGTGTAGTGTGTTTATATAATTCAGTGTGTGTTTGTGTAGTGTGTTTGTGCAGTGTGTATATAATGCAGTGTGTGTGTTTATATAATGCAGTGTGTGTGTGTGTGTGTAGTGTGTGTATATAATGCAGTGTGTTTGTGTAGTGTGTTTCTATAATGCTCACTACACAAACACACTGCATTATATACACACTATACAAACACAAACACTCTGCATTATATAAACACACTACATTCACTATACACACACTACACAAATACACACACACTCTGCATTCATTATATACACACACACTTTGCATTTAGTATATACAGCATTCACTTTACGCACACTACCCACACACTACACAAACACTCTGCTTTTATTATATACACACTACACTTATACACACTGCATCCACTACACACACTAGACAAATACACACTGCATCCACTACACAAACACACATTGCATCCTCCACACACACTACACAAACACACACTGCATCCACAACACACACACTACATCCACTACACACACACTACACAAACACACACAGCTCCCCTGTCACACTGCATCCACTACACGTGGCATGTATATTTTGTGCATTTACCTTTAGAAATAGTTTTTATTTTCCAAAATGGTAAATGTACAGAATATCGGCAAATTATATCGGCTATCGGCCTGAAAGTTCACAGAATATCGGTCTCGGCTCTAAAAAATCAATATCGGTCGATCCCTAGTTGCTTCCACACCCCACCCGGTGTCCCAGGTATTGGACTTCTGCTGTAGCGGAGTGCTAGTTCTAGCAGGGACTCTCCTCCGCTGGTTACTCCCAAGATGCACTCAGGAAAAAGTAGAATACTCCAAGGGAACAGCCAAACACAGCAAAGTAATCCAAGAATCTTCCACCACCTCCCCAGCAACTGGACGACACTCAGCTCTGGGGGTAGAACTGATTTTAATGGAGCCACACACAGCCTTTTATGAGAATCCCCACGCAAGGGGTTTCCAAACACATATTCCAGGGGTATTCCCCACTGGACGAGAGTAGACAGACAAAATATACAACATAATTACATTAACTCTCAGGTCTAGGACATGTACAATATTCATCACCCCAAATTTAAATTTCCCCTCAAGTCCTATATCCTCGGATAGCCTAGGTCTGAGCTCCCAATATATCCGAAAAGCGCTCAGATCCCAAGAACGCAGCCAAAAACGCCACCGGGGTATAGTTTAGACAGATCGCACACGAGGCCCCTGCCAAAAAGGTTCCATGAAATTAGGCTGTGCGGTCGGTCTCTTTCGGGAGTATAAAATACATGAAAAACTAATACAAAACTGTTCGTGTGTATGTTCGTTATGGGTATCTGGTTCGGGAGTTTGCTCCCCTGGAACGCCACTCTGTTCACTTGAGTCTCCACAAATATAACAGAAGGTGGAAGTTCCAGCAGTGTTCGCGCTGTCGAGTGGCTCGACAACCAAACACTTGTCTCTATTCGAATTCCAAGATGGCCGGCGCCACGTGTTCACACATACGAACGGCGGCCACCCAGCCGACCTCTTGGAACGTTCATGTCATTGCAATTTGTGGAGGTGTGAACAGGGGTTATTGGTGTGTTCGGTACTTTGTTCGGTTGTCAAATAGGACGGTGGTAGTAGGCCAGAAGAATGGTATTGACCGAATGGCCAGGCGATAAATGGGAAAAACCATGATAATCCTCAGTAATTTAGTGGGCGTGTGTGGGAGTTTCTGTGGGCGTGTATAATGTATTCTTGACTTGCATAAAAGCCGGTCATCTGGCCTGAATAAAACATTCCTGTTGTACCCTCCATCTAGTCTAGGCTGATGTTTGGGTATACATCTGATTACCCGCTGGATTTACTTGTATGCTGTATTTTTATTCTGAAGAACGTACGAATCAGCACCCGAACTGCGAGCTTTAATAACCGAGTACCTAGCAGTACGAGAGGAAGCGAACGAACGGGTATGTGAAATACCAGCATTCGTTACAGTAACCTACACAGTGCACCTAACATGTGTGGGAGCCTGGAGTGTCCCTTTAATAATATAAACCCACCCAGTATAACTAACTGTAACCTAACCTACACAGTGCACCTAACATGTGTGGGAGCCTGGAGTGTCCCTTTAATAATATAAACCCACCCAGTATAACTAACTGTAACCTAACCTACACAGTGCACCTAACATGTGTGGGAGCCTGGAGTGTCCTTTTAATAATATAAACCCACCCAATATAACTGTAACCTAACCTACACAGTGCATCTAACGTGTGGGGGAGCCTGGAGTGTCCCTTTAATAATATAAACCCACCCAGTGTAACTAACTGTAACCTAACCTACACAGTGCATCTAACGTGTGTGGGAGCCTGGAGTGTCCCTTTAATAATATAAACCCACCCAGTATAATTAACTGTAACCTAACCTGCACAGTGCATCTAACGTGTGAGGGAGCCTGGAGTGTCCCTTTAATAATATAAACCCACCCGGTATAACTAACTGTAACCTAACCTACACAGTGCATCTAACGTGTGTGGGAGCCTGGAGTGTCCCTTTAATAATATAAACCCACCCAGTATAATTAACTGTAACCTAACCTACACAGTGAACCTACTGTGTGGCCTGGAGTGTTCCTTTAATAATATAAATCTACGCAAATAAGGATATATAAATATAGATACATAGTTTTATTTTTTTTGCAATAAAATAGCTTTTACAGATCTTATACATGTCTTATAAAATGAATAAATTAAAAGTAAAAAAATAAAATTCATAATTTCACCCCAAAAGGAATATTTTCAGTTAATCATTCTCACAAGTGGGTTAAATTCATATGACAATCAGTAACCAGTAAGTCACACCCCAGGACTTCATGTTATTATTATTATTATGATATTTATAGAGCGGCGTCAAATTCCGCAGCGCTTTACAATGGGTGGACGAACAGACATGTAGTTGTAACCAGACAAGTTGGACACACAGGAACAGAGGGGTTGAGGGCCCTGCTCAATGAGCTTACATGCTAGAGGGAATGGGGTAAAGTGACACATAAAGGTAAGGATTGTATTAGACTAGTGACAGTTGCAGAAGAGGAATCAGTCAGGAGCTATTAACAGTTTAACCCCTTAAGGACCAAACTTCTGGAATAAAAGGGAATCATGACATGTCACACATGTCATGCGTCCTTAAGGGGTTAATTGATACGCTTTTATGAAGAAGTGGGTTTTTAACGATTTTTTGAAGGAGTGGAGACTGGGTGAGCATCTAATGGAGGAGGGAAGTGAGTTCCACAGGAACGGTGCAGCTCTCGAGAAATCTTGAAGGCGAGCATCAGAGGTGGGAGTACGGGCAGAAGACAGACGTAAGTCTTCAGCAGATCGTAAGGGCCTAGACGGGACATACTTGTGTATAAGGGAGGACAGATAGGTGGGAGCAGCATTATGTAGAGATTTGAAAGCAAGAACCAGAATTTTGGGCGTGATGCGAGGGCTGAGGTGATTCACTGGTCCCAAACCAGAAATCCTGCTACAGCTGTAAGAATGACCCTACTGCGAATTCTATGGCATTGTACAAGTTACCGCCCAGCTATAGCATCCCATGACATTGTACACGTTACTGCCCAGCTATAGCATTCTATGACATTGTACACGTTACCGCCCAGCTATAGCATCCCATGACATTGTACACGTTACTGCCCAGCTATAGCATCCCATGACATTGTACACGTTACTGCCCAGCTATAGCATCCCATGACATTGTACACGTTACTGCCCAGCTATAGCATTCTATGACATTGTACACGTTACCGCCCAACTACATCATTCTATGACACTGTACACGTTACACAATACTGCCCAGCTATAGCATTCCATGTTAATGTACATGATGCCGTGCAATGTACACGCTATGATGCAGGTTAAATAATCTTTAATTGAAAAGTCTAGAGTAAAGTTACAATGTCGCTATGAGTGCTAGCTCTGTGATCCAGTGATAGCAGCTAGGATGCCCATTCTCCCAGCTTGTAAACCATATCAAAAGAGCACCGTGGAGGCCTTGAATGGGGGAGAGCAGTGAGCGCAGGTAGTCCATCCACATTGAGGTAAGGAGTTTCAGTGTGACATTCACTGGGCTTGTAGAAGGCAAACAGATCTGGGCCTTCCATAGGAGTGACCTGGAATGATAGAACACATCAATACAGACAGATAGAGGGAAGAAAGGTATATAGTATAACAGTGATTAGAGGGAACATGGCAATACAGACAGATAGAGGGAAGGAAGGTATATAGTATAACAGTGATTAGAGGAAACATGGCAATACAGACAGATACAGGGAAGGAAGGTACTTGATCCCCTGCTGATTTTGAACGTTTGTCCAATGACAAAGAAATGATTAGTCTATAATTTTAATGGTAGATGTATTTTAAACAGCGAGAGACAGAATAACAAAAAAAAAAAAAATTCCAGAAAAACGCATGTCAAAAAGTTATAAATTGATTTGCATGTCAATGAGTGAAATAAGTATCTGACCCCTTTGACTTAGTACTCGGTGGCAAAACCCTTGTTGGCAATCACAGAGGTCAGATGTTTCTTGATGCTTGGCAACTCGAACCTTCATCTCCGTCCACAGATTTTCTATGTGAATAAGGTCTGGAGACTGGCTAGGCCATTCCAGGACCTTAATGTGCTTCTTCTTAAGCCACTCCTTTGTTGCTTTGGTTGTGTTTTGGGCCATTTTCATGCTGGAATACCCACCCACGACCCATTTTCAATGCCCTGGCCGAGGGAAGGAGGTTCTCACCCAAGATTTGATGGTACATGGCCCCGTCCATCGTCACTTTGATGCGGTGCAGTTGTCCTGTCCCCTTAGCAGAAAAATACCCCCAAAGCATAATTTTTCCACCTCCATGTTTGACAGTGGGGATGGTGTTCTTGGGGTCATGGGCAACATTTCTCCTCCTCCAAACATGGCGAGTTGAGTTGATGCCAAAGAGCTCGATTATGGTCTCATCTCACCACAACACTTTCACCCAGTTCTCCTCGGAATCATTCAGATGTTCATTGGCAAACTTCAGACGGGCCTGTACTTGTGCTTTCTTGAGCAGGGGGACCTTGCGGGCTCTGCAGGATTTCAGTCCTACGATTCGAGTAGTGTGTTACCAATTGTTTACTTGGTGACTATGGTCCCATCTGCCTTGAGGTCATTAACAAGATCCTCCCGTGTAGCTCTGGGCTGATTCCTCATCGTTCTCATGATCATTGAAACTCCACAAGGTGAGATTTTGCATGGAGCACCAAACCGAGGGAGACTGACAGTTATTTTGTGTTTCTTCCATTTGCGAATAATCGCACAAACTGTCGTCACCTTCTCACGACACTGCTTGGCGATGGTCTTGTAGCCAATTCCAGCGTTGTGTAGGTCTACAATCTTGACCCTGACATCCTTGGACAGGCCATGGTGGAGAGTTTGGAATCTGATTGACTGCTTCTGTGGACAGGTGTCTTTTATCCAGGTAACGAGCACTCAATGACATGCTGTTAAGATACACCTACCATTAAAATTATAGACGCATCATTTCTTTGTCAGTGGACAAATGTTTGAAAATACTTTTTCCCCTCACTGTAAATAGTATAACATAGCAGTGATTAGAGGAAACACGGCAATACAGAGAGGGTTAGATCATATACAGTATTATACTATTTTACCACTGGTTAGGATGTATCTAAATGCCAGTTTTATGATGGTGGAGTTCATCATCGACTGGGCAGAGGGTTAAAGGAACACACAAAGCACCATAACAACTACAGCCTGCTCTAGTGATTATGGTGGCAGGAGTCCGGCGTAACCTGTCAAACCGTTGTAGCATAGTTTAACATTTAAATGGCTCCCACCAGGTCCCCGCGCTGCATCTGATCTCTGTGAGCAGGAGACGGCAGATGGCACTCTAGGGTGGGCTGTAAAGGATAGAGCTCTGCAGCACCTGGGGAGAGTGTTGAAGTGGTGGAGATCTTTGTTAGCAGTTAGTAATAGGAGCTGAAGTTCTGGTACTCACATGTTTAAGCTCTGCTTTCCTTGGCTTCTCAGTCAGTCTTTGTATTTGTTCTGCAGGAGGTTCTACACTGACCAGGCCTTGATAAAGATTCTGCACGCGACACACATTGAGAGCTGCCAAGAGAGGAAAACGTCATCAGAACATGGAATACCTTTAGTTACAACGTCATTAAATTTGTCCTGTGCTCACCTTTGGCCGCCTTGCTGTCCACACTGCGCCTCGCTTTGAATGACCGGCCCAGCTGATTGCGCAACGCGCTCTCTGCATCAAACTCCTGTTCAGATTCTCTCTCCACCTCCTGCTTCAGGGCTTCTGTGCTATGCATTCTGGGTAACTCCAGGGGCCCCAGAGATGGCCTCTCAGCTATCTGGACATTTGTCCTGTTTTTGGATTGATTGCTGACATCAAAGCGCACCTTGAAACAAGGGGAACAAGTCTCTTTCAACCATAGTTACTTATTTCAGAAATTCACAGCCTAATTTCCCATAATGGGAGTGCCGTGCCTGATTTCACAGACTTCCTCATTTCAACAGCACACTAGAGACTCCATTAAAATAAAAATACAATTGGTGGGCTCCTATCTGTGTTTAGATTTTTGTCTCTGCTTGAGCAGTAAGTTACCACCAGGTGTCTGTATTGTAATAAATTGAAACCAGGTGATCTGCAGGCTGTCGTGTCCCTTTAAGGGATACCCACTCATTATGATTACCTGCCTCCTGCTGTGTCTGCGATGGGAGCTTTCTCTCCGCAGGATTCCTCCTCCTTTGTCAGGCGTTATTGAAATGTCTAGTAGTGGGTGAGGGGCCATTAAATCTGGGCCCACAGTGAAGGGCTGCGGGGCAGAAGAGGCAGGGACAAGTGCTCCGTCTTCCTCATACATTCTGGCAATGTACGGTCTGTCCTGGGACATCTGGGAAGAAAGAAAAGGTCAATGTGCTAAACAGAATACCAACAAAACACAAATTCGGTGACCACAAGCTCAAAGCAGCCAAACCTGTACGTCCAATGTTAGAGGGACTCCTGGCCGCCCCTGTAATTCTTTTAAAGTTTCTGTCCCTCCCCCCAATGCGGAGATTAATATTACTGGTGATCTCTTCCAATCTGCTCCAATCCCATGTTATGAGTTTATATTAAATTCCCATATGTTATAATGATTTTCTATGTTATATATGTCTCTTTAGTATAAGTTTACATCACATTACCCCATGTTATAATAAGTTTCTATATATTATGAGTTTATATCACATTACCCCATGTTATAATGGTAACATTACCCCATGTTATAATGAATTTATATTACATTCCCCTATGTTATAATAAGTTTCTATATATTATGAGTTTATATCACATTACCCCATGTTATAATGGTAACATTACCCCATGTTATAATGAATTTATACTACATTCCCCTATGTTATAATAAGTTTCTATATATTATAATGAGTTTACATTACAATCACAATAACACCGAATGGAGAGAATATATAGAAAAAAATATACCACTTGGTGCTATTACTCACAGTTACTCCTTCAAGTACCAAACAACCATAAATGATATCAAAGAGAATGCACACTAGAAACAACAAAGAAAGCTATGCAAATACTTTAACCCCTTAAAACCGGAGGGCGGACTATTACGCCCTATTCTAAGCGGCTCTAAACGCGGATCGCTCACATGCCGCAATTGGCTGTTACTATCTGTCTGGGATGCCGGGCAGATAGTAACAACAGGATTTTGGCTGAAGTGATCTCCGATCGCTCCCGCCGCCCGTTTTCCATTAGGACGGTTCAGGACCGTCCTCGGTCGACAACGCAAAAATGCCGAGGACAGTCCTGAACCGTCCTGAAGGGGTTAATAGACCAACAATTGGCATTATAAGCATTAGGCAAAACTGTAAAGTGACAATATAAAGGCATAAAAATAAAACAGTAATAATTACCACAATCCTCACAAGCCTAAACTGGCAGAAACACGAGTCCCCAATAACCCCACTTCTTTCCCTCCCCACAATGCAGAGATTAATATTACTGGTGACCTCTTCCAATCTGCCCCAATCCCATTATTATTATCCCATGTTATGAGTTTATATCACATTACCCCATGTTATAATGGGTTTATATTAAATTCCCCAATATATTATAATACGTTTATATTACATTACCTCATGTTGTAATGAGTTTATATATTGTAATGTTTATATTATAGTTTATATATGGGGGTGAGATAAACTATAATATAAACTGATTATAACATGGGGTGAGATAAACTATAATATAAACTCATAACATGGGGTAATTGTAGCGGAGCCATAGTCCTAGCAGGGACTCTACTAGGCACAGTAAAATAATCCAAGAATATCCCACCTCCTCCCCAGCAACTGGGCAACACACAGCTCTGGGGGTATATCTGAATTTTATTGACATATACACGGCTTTTATGCCCAGTAGCATGCAAGGGGTTTCACAAGCAGAAAATGCAGGGGTTTCAATCCCAAGATCCTCTGTGCCTGAGAGCTAATTGCCTGAGTAAACTCCTGTAATTTAATTATCTCTCAGGCACAGAAAATCCACAAAATATCCTGTACCCCAACCATACATAGAAACCCCACAAACAGTACATTCCCCGATAGCCCTGATCTGAGTGACCAACATATCCAAGAATCACTCAGATCAGTTCAGCAGAATGGGAATGCCATCGTAATGAGGTTTTGACCGACCAGACACGAGGCGCTAGCCCAAAATAGTTCTAGAGAAATAGGTGTCCTGGCCGGTCTCTGTTCGTGAGGTTCCTGTGCGAAAACCATACAAGGGAATCTATAGCATTCAGGATACGAATGCTCCCCCTGTTCGGTAATACAAATCTCCCGAACGCCGTTCGTGTAGGTGGTTGGGAACAGGAACGGGCAGCGGTCGAAAGTTTACCGATGTTCGCACGAGTGCCTGGCCAAAAAGAATTCCAGGCACTCGACGACCAAGTAACGCTGCCCTCATTCGGGAGACAAGATCGCCGCCATTCTCTCTGCCACGTGTTCGGTTATATACTAAATGCCGGCAACCCAGGGGAAGCACTCATTTATTGTTTCCCTTGCAGTTTTCACACTTAAGGGGCTGGTGTCAACGTTCTAATGGGGCACAGAGCTGGTCCTCGTTCGTGAGACGAATGGATCCTGTTTGGATGAAATCTCCCGAACGGCCAAAGAGTAACCACTCGAAAGAATAGGGGAAAAGACACAGTACTGTAACAGGGGGGTACGCCAGCCAAATAAGGGAATAAACGTAGCTGGTGTCTATTCCGCTACAGTAATGTAATATAAACGGATTATAACATGGAGTGAGATGTTATAATCAGTTTATATTATATCTCACCCCATGTTATAATCAGTTTATATTATTATATTATATCTCTCCCCATGTTATAATCAGTTTATATTATATCTCTCCCCATGTTATAATCAGTTTATATTATTATATTATATCTCACCACATGTTATAATCAGTTTATATTATTATATTATATCTCACCCCATGTTATAATCAGTTTATATTATTATATTATATCTCTCCCCATGTTATAATCAGTTTATATTATTATATATCTCCCCATGTTATAATCAGTTTATATTATTATATATCTCTCCCCATGTTATAATCAGTTTATATTATATCTCTCCCCATGTTATAATCAGTTTATATTATTATATTATATCTCTCCCCATGTTATAATCAGTTTATATTATATCTCTCCCCATGTTATAATCAGTTTATATTATTATATTATATCTCTCCCCATGTTATAATCAGTTTATATTATTATATTATATCTCACCCCATGTTATAATCAGTTTATGTTATTATATCTCTCCCCATGTTATAATCAGTTTATATTATTATATTATATCTCTCCCCATGTTATAATCAGTTTATATTATTATATCTCTCCCCATGTTATAATCAGTTTATATTATTATATTATATCTCTCCCCATGTTATAATCAGTTTATATTATATCTCACCCCATGTTATAATCAGTTTATATTATTATATTATATCTCACCCCATGTTATAATCAGTTTATATTATTATATCTCACCCCATGTTATAATCAGTTTATATTATTATATTATATCTCTCCCCATGTTATAATCAGTTTATATTATTATATCTCTCCCCATGTTATAATCAGTTTATATTATTATATTATATCTCTCCCCATGTTATAATCAGTTTATATGATTATATTATATCTCTCCCCATGTTATAATCAGTTTATATTATTATATTATATCTCACCCCATGTTATAATCAGTTTATATTATTATATTATATTATATCTCTCCCCATGTTATAATCAGTTTATATTATATCTCTCCCCATGTTATAATCAGTTTATATTATTATATTATATCTCTCCCCATGTTATAATCAGTTTATATTATTATAGTATATCTCACCCCATGTTATAATCAGTTTATATTATTATAGTATATCTCACCCCATGTTATAATCAGTTTATATTATTATAGTATATCTCACCCCATGTTATAATCAGTTTATATTATTATATTATATCTCACCCCATGTTATAATCAGTTTATATTATTATATTATATCTCACCCCATGTTATAATCAGTTTATATTATTATATTATATTATATCTCACCCCATGTTATAATCCGTTTATATTATATCTCACCCCATGTTATAATCAGTTTATATTATATCTCACCCCATGTTATAATCAGTTTATATAATATCTCACCCCATGTTATAATCAGTTTATATTATTATATTATATCTCACCCCATGTTATAATCAGTTTATATTATATCTCTCCCCATGTTATAATCAGTTTATATAATATCTCACCCCATGTTATAATCAGTTTATATAATATCTCACCCCATGTTATAATCAGTTTATATTATTATATTATATCTCACCCATGTTATAATCAGTTTATATTATTATATTATATCTCACCCCATGTTATAATCAGTTTATATTATATCTCACCCCTCTCACCCCATGTTATAATCAGTTTATATTATATCTCTCCCCATGTTATAATCAGTTTATATGTTATAATCAGTTTATATTATATCTCTCCCCATGTTATAATCAGTATTATATATATATCTCACCCCATGTTATAATCAGTTTATATTATATCTCTCCCCATGTTATAATCAGTTTATATTATTATTATATCTCACCCCATGTTATAATCAGTTTATATTATTATATTATATCTCTCCCCATGTTATAATCAGTTTATATTATATCTCACCCCATGTTATAATCAGTTTATATTATTATATTATATCTCTCCCCATGTTATAATCAGTTTATATTATTATATTATACTCACCCTCATGTTATAATCAGTTTATATTATTATATTATATCTCACCCCATGTTATAATCAGTTTATATTATTATAATATCTCACCCCATGTTATAATCAGTTTATATTATTATATTATATCTCACCCCATGTTATAATCAGTTTATATTATTATATTATATCTCACCCCATGTTATAATCAGTTTATATTATTATATTATATCTCACCCCATGTTATAATCAGTTTATATTATATCTCGCCCCATGTTATAATCAGTTATATATTATATCACTCACCCCATGTTATAACTCAGTTTAATATATATTATATCATGTTATAATCTCTCCCCATGTTATAATCAGCTTATATTATATTATATCTCTATTATATTATATTCCCCATGTTATAATTCAGTTTATTATATTATATCTCACCCCATGTTATAATCAGTTTATATTATTATATTATATCTCTCCCCATGTTATAATCAGTTTATATTATATCTCACCCCATGTTATAATCAGTTTATATTATTATATTATATCTCACCCCATGTTATAATCAGTTTATATTATATCTCTCCCCATGTTATAATCAGTTTATATTATATCTCACCCCATGTTATAATCAGTTTATATTATTATATTATATCTCTCACCCCATGTTATAATCAGTATTATTATTATATCTCACCCCATGTTATAATCATCTCACCCCATGTTATAATCAGTTTATATTATTATATTATATCTCACCCCATGTTATAATCAGTTTATATTATTATATTATATCTCACCCCATGTTATAATCAGTTTATATTATTATATTATATCTCACCCCATGTTATAATCAGTTTATATTATATCTCGCCCCATGTTATAATCAGTTTATATTATTATATCTCACCCCATGTTATAATCAGTTAATATTATTATATTATATCTCTCCCCATGTTATAATCAGTTTATATTATATCTCACCCCATGTTATAATCAGTTTATATTATATCTCACCCCATGTTATAATCAGTTAATATTATTATATTATATCTCTCCCCATGTTATAATCAGTTTATATTATATCTCACCCCATGTTATAATCAGTTTATATTATATTTCACCCCATGTTATAATCAGTTTATATTATATTTCTCCCCATGTTATAATCAGTTTATATTATATCTCACCCCATGTTATAATCAGTTTATATTATTATATTATATCTCTCCCCATGTTATAATCAGTTTATTATTATATCTCACCCCATGTTATAATCAGTTTATATTATATCTCACCCCATGTTATAATCAGTTAATATTATTATATTATATCTCTCCCCATGTTATAATCAGTTTATATTATATCTCACCCCATGTTATAATCAGTTTATATTATATTTCTCCCCATGTTATAATCAGTTTATATTATATCTCACCCCATGTTATAATCAGTTTATATTATTATATTATATCTCTCCCCATGTTATAATCAGTTTATATTATATCTCACCCCATGTTATAATCAGTTTATATTATATCTCACCCCATGTTATAATCAGTTTATTATTATTATATTATATTTATTATTATTACATTACATTTATTATTATTTTATTATTATTATTATATAATATTTACAGTCAGACTCTCACCCTGCTCTCTGCTCGGTCCTCCAGCCGTTAAAACCATAGAGTTAAAGGGAGAGCAAGCCAGTTTCCGTTCCAGTCGGTCCTCCAACCAGTAAAACCATAGAGATGCTGGGAAAGTCTGTCCGTTACCGTGGCAACCCCTGGCCGTTTACTACTCCAGGATGCGCATGTTAATTACAACTTCCGGTATCACCTCCATGTTGGTACACCCGCAGAGTGTCTCAGTGCTGCCTGGCAGCCATCTTTGTACTCTTGGTTATTGCTTCAAAGAAAACCGTCTAGACAATGAGTTCAGCCCAGTGCTCCCAATGAATAAACACTGACTGATCATAGCCAGGAAAATTAAAATAAAAAATATATACTCCTTATATACACCAATAAAACTCACTGTGTATAATGTACAGTGTGTGAATCACAGAGCTCCACCAATAAAACTCACTGTGTATAATGTACAGTGTGTGAATCACAGAGCTCCACCAATAAAACTCACTGTGTATAATGAACAGTGTGTGTGTGAATCACAGAGCTCCACCAATAAAACTCACTGTGTATAATGTACAGTATGTGAATCACAGAGCTCCCCAGCAATAAAACTCACTGTGTATAATGTACAGTGTGTGTGTGAATCACAGAGCTCCACCAATAAAACTCACTGTGTATAATGTACAGTGTGTGTGTATCACAGAGCTCCCCACCAATAAAACTCACTGTGTATAATGAACAGTGTGTGTGTGAATCACAGAGCTCCACCAATAAAACTCACTGTGTATAATGTACAGTATGTGAATCACAGAGCTCCCCAGCAATAAAACTCACTGTGTATAATGTACAGTGTGTGTGTGAATCACAGAGCTCCACCAATAAAACTCACTGTGTATAATGTACAGTGTGTGTGTATCACAGAGCTCCCCACCAATAAAACTCACGGTGTATAATGTACAGTGTGTGAATCACAGAGCTCCACCAATAAAACTCACTGTGTATAATGTACAGTGTGTGAATCACAGAGCTCCCCAGCAATAAAACTCACTGTGTATAATGTACAGTGTGTGTGTGAATCACAGAGCTCCACCAATAAAACTCACTGTGTATAATGTACAGTGTGTGTGTATCACAGAGCTCCCCACCAATAAAACTCACGGTGTATAATGTACAGTGTGTGAATCACAGAGCTCCACCAATAAAACTCACTGTGTATAATGTACAGTGTGTGAATCACAGAGCTCCCCAGCAATAAAACTCACTGTGTATAATGTACAGTGTGTGTGTGAATCACAGAGCTCCACCAATAAAACTCACTGTGTATAATGTACAGTGTGTGTGTATCACAGAGCTCCCCACCAATAAAACTCACTGTGTATAATGTACAGTGTGTGTGTGTATCACAGAGCTCCACCAATACAACTCACTGTGTATAATATACAGTGTGTGTATCACAGAGCTCCCCAGCAATAAAACTCACTGTGTATAATGTACAGTGTGTGAATCACAGAGCTCCCCACCAATAAAACTCACTATGTATAATGTACAGTGTGTGTATCACAGAGCTCCCCAGCAATAAAACTCACTGTGTATAATGTACAGTGTGTGTATCACAGAGCTCCCCAGCAATAAAACTCACTGTGTATAATGTACAGTGTGTGTATCACAGAGCTCCACCAATAAAACTCACTGTGTGTAATGTACAGTGTGTGTATCACAGAGCTCCCCACCAATAAAACTCACTGTGTATAATGTACAGTGTGTGTGTGTATCACAGAGCTCCACCAATACAACTCACTGTGTATAATATACAGTGTGTGTATCACAGAGCTCCCCAGCAATAAAACTCACTGTGTATAATGTACAGTGTGTGAATCACAGAGCTCCCCACCAATAAAACTCACTATGTATAATGTACAGTGTGTGTATCACAGAGCTCCCCAGCAATAAAACTCACTGTGTATAATGTACAGTGTGTGTATCACAGAGCTCCCCAGCAATAAAACTCACTGTGTATAATGTACAGTGTGACGAAGTGCCCTTCGCCAATTGTGCCTGGAGGGGACTACTGGCTGGCCTCCTGCATTCCGACTATGGCCCCTGTGCTGATAGCGGTATTTTCCCCCGCAGAAAGGTTTATTTGTGTATTTCTGCCGGGGCGTTCGGGACTTTCAGTATGTGAGTAGTGCAACCCCAGATAGCTATGCCATGGAGCCCATTCGTATAATGAAAGACTATGAGAAAGACTTTGGCTCCATGGCGATTGAACTGTGTGACGAAGTGCCCTTCGCCACTTGGTCCTGGAGAGGCCTACTTGCCAGCCTCCTCCCCTGTGACTATGACTCTTTCATGTATCTGGCTTTAAAGCCCCTAGTCTACCTTCAGACAGACTATTTATGTGGGCTGCTTTATTTATCCTATGTTTTAGTCACCCTGTACCCATTATAGGTGCAGGGTGTGTGTAATGTAATTGCTTATAGTGTGTGTGTGTGTACTGTGTAATGTATTGCCTGCTCTCTTGTATTGCTGAGGTTTGCTACCAACTAGGTGGGTTTGGCTATGGAGCTGGTCTAGTGCCCTCTGTTGGTAGCAACAGCAATATGCACTACCTGAATTGCAAGACTGGTTCATTTGCATATTCGGGTAGATTTGCATATTGCTAATTCTGCAGGCAGGTGAGATATTTACTGTTAAATATTGTCTCCCCCACCCTTTAAAAATGTGCCATTGTGTTGTGATAAGTCACTGTGTGTTGCCTGCTATGGTTTGACTGTTTGTGATTTTATTGAGGTTTCACAACAATGTTATTGTGGTGACCCTATGGGCTGCTCCCAAGGGAAATAATGGTTTAGACAGTTCTTCTATATCTCTCTAAATGTAGTTTTGTCTTGTTATTGGAGGGAGCTGTTATAATCACATTGGGGATTGCTATGTTCTGCATGCTCCCCTGAGCTTGAATCACTTAGCTCTTTTAAGAGCTTGTTCCTGACATGCTCTCCTTGGAGGAGAGGTTTTCACCACACAGTCCTGGATGCTGGAGGTTCATACAGGGTGGAAGGAAGAGGTCTTACCCACACGGTCCTGGAGGACAGAAGCTGATCCGGAGTGGAAGGAAGACGGTGAGACTCCAGTCAAGCTACAGTGGTTGCGGAGTCTGCGGTGTCTGCTGCAGTGCTTGGAGTCCTCAGGAAGCGCTAGGAGCATCCATCAACAGAGGGTACTCGGTCGGAGTACAGGGAGCTCCGTTACAAACTGTATGTATGTGATCTGAGCACCATCCGGTAATAATGTGCGCTCAGATCTAAGCTATCTGGGGATATGTTGCATGCATAGGTTTTATGCAGTAACATTGTGTAATTTTATGTCTTTTTGTAACCATGTGGTTAATGGAGTTTTGCCTCTGTCCTGGGAGATAATTTGATTACTTCCCAATTATCTCCAGGATAGAGAGGAGGGATTGTGATGTTACTGTGGGAGTGTTTTGTTTGTATTGTCTGTGATTGGCTAATATCCAATATGTGTCCCATTGTTCCATCAGGTCCCCTAGGGGAGTGTCCACCTGGTGGACACTTGCATAAATACCGGGCAGGTAGCCCTCAATAAAGCAGATCTACTTGCACCTTTCTTGAAGCCTTGGCTCATGCTTGGGGGAAGGGATACCTACACTCTGGGGATTGCTATAATCACTTACTCCCCAGTAAGCTCTTGTAAGAGCTTGGATTTGTTCCTGCTACGCTCTCTGGATTTTGCTCCCCAGCATTTCATGTATCAGAGGCACATGGTGAGAACAATGGATGGCGGCCATTTTAACTCACAGACACTGTTTTGATTTTTCTACACGGTGCCATCTCGCCGGTGTTTGGTGCACAGAGACATCGTTCAGTAGTTTTAAACTACAGAACAGGGGACACATTTAACAGTAATTATTTTTCATATAGCCTGTATATGAAATCTGCATTAAACCATATCTTTCAAACTACTGAACGGATCTGGGTGAATTTTGGATATGTGATTCACCCAGATCCCCTGGTTCAGGGATATATTTATGGGGTTATTGCATGTTTTGGGGTCCCTGTGATATATTTTATAATACTGTATTTTCCTGTCTGTGATAATTAAGTTAGTCTATTGTGTTGAGATAATTGTATCACAGGCAGAGGGGAGGATTTCTGATGCAATGAATGGGAGTGTTAGCTGTGTTGTAATGTGTTGATTGGTTGTTCTTCAAAACTCTGTGGGCAGTACTATGTTTGTAGAATGTGAATAAAAGAGGTTGTATGTGCCAGTACAGTCAGTTCTACTTCACCCTCAATTTGGAGTGCCGTCTCTTATTAGGGGAATCTGCTACAAGGGATTGCTATGCTCTGCATACTCTATTGCTATATTCACTGCTAAGCTCTTGTAAGAGCTTGTTCCTGTCTTGCTCTCTGAAGGAGTCTACGGTGGTTATGGTGTCGGCTGGAGTGCTTGGAGCCCTCAGGAAGCGCTAGGAGCATCCTTCAACTGATGTACCTAGTCGGGGTGCCAGGTGATCCGTTACAGTGAGTATCTGTGTGTAGGTGCCAGTGTGGGTATCTGTGTGTAGGTGCCAGTGTGGGTATCTGTGTGTAGGTGCCAGTGTGGGCATCTGTGTGTAGGTGCCAGTGTGGGCATCTGTGTGTAGGTGCCAGTGTGGGCATCTGTGTATGGGCATCTGTGTATCTGTGTAGGTGCTAGTGTGAGTATTGCCTCTGTCTTTGGAGATAATTGGATTACTTCCTAATTATCTCCAGGATAGAAGACTCTGTGGAACTGGTTTTGGGAAGAAAAGCCATGCTTCATTTGGTCACAAAGGACTTCGATCTATCTTTTGAACCAATGGACCAATTTGGATGATTTTGACATATGTTCGTATATGGAGTATGCTGATTCTGAAAATGATTTGGATTTCCTTATATGGGCAGCCCACATGGCTCACCCGAAACAAAGGAGAAAGGAATGTGATTTCAGTTCCTGCATTCCTGCACATGCTCAGTACATTGATGACAGTATCTTAGCTATGTGTAACTAACTGATACAACATACACATATGCCACGTGGAAATCTCGGCCTACTAAATTTACATTTCACCAAAATTCCATCACATTCCCCCCTTTGATACCTCTGATACAAAATTATTCCAGATGCATCACCAATCATAGTTTACCAACACCTCTCAAGTAGCCATGGACCAGAACAGACCTTGTAAGCATCTTAGCATCATCACAAACTCCTTCAACATTCCTCATCCTGAATATGTTCTCTTTGGGCTAGGGATTCATATCTATAGACAGCCATTACATGAGCAGCTGTCTTTCTTTCTATAGTACTCTCTATGATACTACGTATAGATCTGACCACTAATGGAATTAGGCAGGGCAGAAAGAGACATAAGAATATAATAAATACTACTCCTCCTTCTAACGCCTTAATCCCGCCAAGCTGCTCATACCAACTTCCAAACCAACTACTAGGATTATACCCATTCCAGACCTGAGTCGGTACATGTGTCAGTTTAACCACGTGGCTTGTAAGTTTAGCCACAATAGTTGCTGAGATTAAACTTTCCGCATACACCTCCCGCTACTGCTAATAGGTAGTTCAGAGCTAATCTATTTGATCTCATCCGAGTATTTTGCTTAGCTAGAAGATTAAGTGCTTAAACTGTCTCATTAGTGATAATCTCAACCACCGCCTGTAGTCTTATAATACGGTTGAGCATATATATTGGGGTTCTATATCCATAGGTATCATCTTCTGCCCAAGTAGCAGGTCCATAATAATTAATAATGCGTTGGGGAGGCCACTCATCATCTTCCCAGCTACCTATATTCAAGGATGCTTTCTCCCTTTTATGATTTACATCATAAGCCTTAACTCCCAAGGTCTCTCCTGTCTCAATTGGCAACAGGAAGAAGGATGGTTTGAGCATACCCAATACACATGCCCCTTCCCAATCTTGTGGTAACTCTGAATATGCTTTCTTACCACAGATCCAATATAAATTCGCTGGGGCTTTCCAATTGGATGTAGCAGATAAGTCAAACCATACCTCTTTTAAATGGGTGTAATTGGCAAACGGATTAGTAGGCTCTGAGACATTTGAATCTGTCCACCAAGTAGTATCTTTAGTATCGTCATTATAGGCTTTCTGTCCTAGACATATTAACTCGCCAACAGGTGTGGTATACAATGGCCCTTTCCTGGCTAAACATACATGACCTATAATGGAGGTTTTTAACCGCCACTCTGATTTACCTCTAGTACTTACTTGATGATCAGACTGAGAAAGTATTTGTTGTTCATCTGTCTCAGAACCAGGGTACCATACTTCCTTTGCCTCCCATGGCCACTGGTCTCCCATATTAGTACCTCCACATACAAAGCAATTAGTTACATTAAGACTACCCGCAATACTCTCGTGTTGGGTTGTGCAGGCGGTCTCGGGTAGCTCCTATTAACTGGCCCATGATGCCTCCTGGCATCGAAATGTTGGTCTGCCAATCTAGTGGCTTCAGGTAGGGTGAGATGGCATACCTCTCAAATATAGCCCTTTTTACTTTAAAATAGTCTTTACTGTCTGTGGCAAACCTAGTCACTTGGACATTATACAGAGACTGTGGCTTTAAGGGTTGCCTTTATGGTTGTGGGGATATGTATGTTCCTGGGTGTAATGTATGCTGACTGTATAGTATTGTATTGCCTGTATTAGCTATCTGCCGTATCTGCTGTATTTCATTTCGTTTCACGAACGGCACCATTGCGGGCTGTTCGTGAACCGAATAAACCACCCTGTAATAGCCCACACATTAAGAGACGTGTGGCGCTTGTTAACGGCAATATTAAATCCACGATCTCCGCTGGTACAGAAGGTAATCCACAGTCAAGCGCTGAAAAGTAAGGCAATATCCCAAATCCCCCAGTAACCGGACGAAACACAGTTCTGGGAGTCAACTGAGGCTTTATTCACAGGCTCCACAATTTATACAATTCCCCATGCAAGGGGTTTCCTGAGTCCTAACCCAGGGGTATTCCAGGAGTGGACTACGTGGGGAACTTACAGTACAGAGCATTTCTCCCATCAGGCACTGCTGTACGAGAGGGATCCTCCCACTGGAATGTACCGTTAAGTGGATTATCCCTCTGTGCAGCAGAACCGGCAATTTATATTAAAACACACAACTTTTCGAATATTAGGTCTATTTGCACTAATGGGCGTTCGGTAGATAGCTGGGGTCTGAGCACATCATTCGTGAGATTACCGCTCAGATCCCAGCTAAAACAACCGAACGCCGCACGAAAAACACATTCACCAAAACATGCATTTAACCCCTGTGGCGAAACCGGCCTCGCCACGTGTCTTTGGAGGGGGCTGCTTGCCCGCCTCTTGCTTTTGGACTATGGACCAGACTTTATGTGAAGGTATTAACCCAGATAGCTATGCCATGGAGCCCATTCGTGTAGTTAAAGACTTCGGCTCCATGGCAATTGAACTGTGTGAATAGGATCTGAGCGCTATTTGGTAGTTTTGTGCGCTCAGATCCCAGCTATCTGGGGATATGTGAAATGTCTGTGTGTTATGTGTAAATGTGACTTTATGTATTTTAAAGTGTTTTGTGTCTTTTTGCAACCATGTGCTTAATGGAGTCTTGTGTCTGTCCTGGGAGATAATTGAATTACTCTCCAGGATAGAAGACTCTGAAACTGGTTTGGGCCAGAAAGCCATGCTTCATTTAGTCACAAAGGACTTTCCCTTAACTTTTGAACCCCTGGTCTGATTCGTGCCATTTTTTAATATGTTGTTCCCTGAATGGATTGATTATGAAAATGTATGTTTTATGTTTGTGACATGTATATTTTAGAAGTTATAAATATTGTGTAAAAACTGTATTCCTCTGCCGGTGATAATGAGATTACCCATTGTGTTCAGTAATCATATCACCTGCAGAGGGGAGGATTTTGTGTGGGAGTGTCTGGGTGTATTGTACGGATTGATTGGTTGTTTTGTAACGCCCTGTGGGCTGTACTATGTTTGTGGATTGGGAATAAAAGAGACTGTATGTGACAGTACAGGGAGTTCCTGCTTAACCCTCAAAGTGAAGTGTCGTCTCATTATTGGGGGAAGGATTTATTGTATGCTGTTCCAGTTTGACTGCTAGGAGAGTAAACCTATTTGTATGGTTCCTATTCAACTGTCTACAGCATTCATATGCTTGAGAGGATTCATATGCTTCTCCGGTTCGGTGGTTGTGGTGTCTGCTGCAGTGCTTGGAGTCCTCAGGAAGCGCTAGGAGCATCCTTTAACGGAGGTACCCAGTCGGGGTGCCAGGCGATCCGTTACAACCCCTTAAGGACACATGACATGTGTGACATGTCATGATTCCCTTTTATTCCAGAAGTTTGGTCCTTAAGGGGTTAAAAGATCGATTGGCATATGGGGAATAAAATACCGAACGGCCCGGAACTCCCAAACGGCCCGGAACTTCAGCGGTGTTCACGCCGTCGAGTAGCCGTTTTTAATACCACGTGCTCGACAACCAAACACCGCTGGAGGAACAAAGGATCCAAGATGGCTTACCGCCGCGTGGTTGGTAGTCGAACGACGGCCACCTAGGAGAGCCTCTAATAACTGATTGCAACATTGTTGCAATCGGTTAACAAGCGCCACACATCTCTTAATGTGTGGGCTATTACAGGGTGGCTTATTCGGTTCACGAACGGCCCGCAAAGGTGCCGTTCGTGAAACGAAATGAAATACAGCTATCTGCTTTCTGCAGATAGCTAATACAGGCAATACAATACTATACTGTCAGCATACATTACACCCAGGAACATACATATCCCCACAACCATACAGGCAACCCTTAAAGCCACGGTCTGTATAATGTCCAAGTGGCTAGGTTTGCCACACAACTTGATCCACTGTTTTTCCCCAGGTCGCCCACCCTACACAAGACCAATATGGACAAAAATTAAAATCCCTATTTGGGCAATCAGGATCAGTAGATCTTACTGGGACATAAATATTTATCATTAAACCCATAAGTTCGTTCCCATTTAAGATTACCACATACATTCCAAGGTTTTCCACTACCAGAGATCGCCTTACATGCATCAAATAGTAGAATGCCCGTAGAATGTATGGTATTTATCACAGTCCTATTTATCAAGGTCCCCTGGGAGTTACTGTTCTGAATTACCAACCAAATTGTACGGGGTTGGAATTGGGGATCAAAACAGTTAGGCTCTCCTGATATTGGTTTTCACACACTGTAATCTATATCTAAATATCTACACTTAGATACAGATCCCTTACACTCATACTGTGAGTACCAAATGAGAGTTTGGGATATTTGGTTACCTGTTTTCGTAGTCTCAATGCAGCTAACACAACTCTGTATGTCCTCACCTTTACCTTCCTGAAAAATCACAAAAATGCCTAAACACATAATATAACATATTATTTCAGAAGTCCTTATTTCTACTCTTCGACCGTGTGACGGCACCTCAGCTTCCCGATTGTGAGGGCTGCAAGAATTGTCGTTCTTCTGATCCTCACTTTTCTTCACAGAGGTCCCTTCGAGACACTCTGGCTATGACACGTAGGTAGGTGGTCAGGCTTTATTATGGCCGTCAAAAACACCTACTTGCTGATATCTGTTGTTACTTTCAACTAAGATGTCCCAATATCTCCTCGTATTATTTCTCACTCCAACTGAGCTACCCGCTTTAACCGGATCTTGCAAGGATTTTCAGAATCTGGAATAGCTTGCCAAGAATCTGCCGCTGGTTTAACCCTAGAATGATGAATCTACGGAGTCACTTCTGCCACCTTTACAGCTGTTGGAGCAGATAAAAGAACAACATAAGGACCTCACCTTTACCTTCCTTTGGACCTAATGGAACAATATTCCATTGTTTTATCCACACTTGATCTCCCGGTTGATACAGATATATATTCACAGGTAACCTATTGTAACGGACCGTTTTGCACAAAAAGGAAAAACGTTTAGGCGATCGGCCCCTTTTCCAGAGATGCAGGCACAGCTACTGCAGAACACCAAGCACACGAACCGCCAATAAGTGAATGCTCCAAACTCCCGAACTGCATACAAGGGGATGCTCCAAACACCCGAACTGGAACCTCACGAATAGCTGCTAGCAGACGAACAGGAAAAGCATCCAAGCGGCTTACACTCCTAGCAATCAGTCTCTATCAGCATACAGTAAATCCCCCCCCAAAGACGAGACAGAGCTCCGTGTTGAGGGTCAAGCAGTGGTCTGTTTAGTGAGGGCTACCTGCCCAGTATTTATGCAGGTCTCCCACCTGGTGGACACTCCCCTAGGGGACCAGATGGGAGACTGTGACAAGGGACAGACAAGCAGACAAATAGGACACACAGTCACAGTATATTCCCACAATGCATCCTGGCTTCCTCCCCTCTGCCCTGGGAGATAATTGAGAAGCAACTCAATTATCTCCCAAGACAAAGGCAAAACTCCATTACACATGTGGGGACACAAAACCAGTATTATACTTTAAAATACATAAAGTAACATTTACTACATAAAACACAGACGTAACATATCCCCAGATAGCTCAGGTCTGAGTGCACATTATTAGGTGAATGGCACTCAGACCACACGAATACAGTTTAATTGCCATGGAGCCAAAGTCTTTAATTCCACGAACAGGCTCCATGGCATAGCTATCTGGGTTAAAACATTCCCCCAACACAAAATACCGAATTTACATACATTCGTTAAATTGGTACGAATTAGAACCAGGGGCTGGAGGCTCAGTGGTGCTTAGCTGACACAGTGTCCAGATTTGGCGTAGGAAAGCCGGGCAGAAAAGCGCTGGCTGCCCGGGGAGCTCC